GCACCACAGGAAGTCGGAGCAGTGTTAATTATTACCCTATTTCACGGGTGTAGCATTTGAGTCCAGAGATAGACGTGTCTAGGTCGCTTTTTGTGACTAAGCGGTCTAGGCGCCTACCCTGGTCTTTTTCCAATTGAGCTGCTCTTAACTGCTGCGCACTCATTCATCCACCTTCTTTCCAGGAGAGAAATTTAATGGCACCTCTTCTACTTTCTAATGTAACCCCAGAATAGAAAGGCCTTCTGTTTTGACAGTTGGAAAAAGCACTGGACTTAGAGGCATGAGATGCGAGAGTCTTATTCTGGGCTACCATCTGTGAACTGCAATGATTAAATATGTCAGTTTTCGATTTTAGTTGTCTCTAAAAACTGGTAACCTCTTCCCTGCTGTACTGAGTGCTTGTGAATGCCATTGGAGGTTTCCGATGTGAGAGCATGGTTTACCAAGTCCCCCGCAACAGTTTTTAACCACAACAGAGGGCAATATGTGGGCTTTAAAAGATTTATAAATACCCTGAAGTTGAACATAAAATTGTATGAATTGTATGTGTTTCAATTTCATTAAATTAGTAAAAAAACAAACAAAAAACACCACTTTCCCTTACAAATAGAGCAAGGGATTAAGGAAGTGAGGAAGTAAATTTACCGTTTTGCATTTTCTCACTTAATCCTTAGTAATCCTAGGACATGCCTGGCACACACAGGTGATTGGTAAATATTGGTTGAATAAAAAAAGGGTTCTATTATCTCATTTTATAGGTAAAGAAATTGAGGTCCTTTTGACCTCTCATTCACTAACTGGGAAGCCTGCATTATTGAAACAAGCACATCAGAAATAAACTCTTTTAGGCATATATTTAACGTTATCCACTTTCACATAAGGTAAAGTAGGTAAGAGCACAGTCATTGGAATTCAGCTACTTAGGATTTGAATTAAGGCTGTGCCATACTGTATAACACTGGGACAAGTTATTATCTTGAAGTGATAATAACATCTACCTTTCATTCAACAAATGCTTATTGAGTGCCTATTGTGTACTTAATTTAGTGCCCTGTGCTAACATTGTTCTAGGATTATTGTGAGGATTAAATGAGATAAATATACCAAGAGTTTTGGCTCCACCTTGTCATATTGGCTCAATAAATATCTGCTATCCTTATTTTTACTGTGACTCTTTTATCTGTTTTCCTTGGGTGTGACCTCTGGACTGGATGGTATGCATGTTTCAGATTTTTGGTATCTGCAACATTGAAAGTCTGTAGTAGGTATCTCCTGGAAGCCAAAGCCTTTGCTAGGCCAAGTCAGGCCTGCCTTTCTACCCCATTCGTCACTTCTCTTAGGGAATCTTTCTGCTGATGGTGAATGGGATGAAATGCCGGGTCAAGGGTAAGAAAGTGGGGTGATGGTACAAAGGGGCCTGACATCTATGATTTCCTTATGCCGCCTCTTCAGAAGGACTCCTGATTATTTTTTTGAACTTTTCATTGAAAATTAACATACATACAGAAAAGTGCACAAATCATAAATGTGCAGTTTAATGAGTTTTTTAATTGAATTTTTAAAATTTTATAATCTCTTTGAGCTAATCTGCCAGTTTTAGAAAATAGCATGTCAATGAGTTTTCTTAAAGAGAACATACCTATATATATGACATATTGTTGATTCGTACACTTGAAACTTATTTGATTTTATTAATGTCACCCCAATAATTTTAATTTTAAAAAAAAGAGAACATACCTATGTAACATCTAGATCAAGAAACATGACCAGCACCCTACTAGCACTCCACTCCTATGCCATGTATGCTTCTTTTCAGTCACCTTGGTTACTTTTTATTATGACTTCTAACACTGGAGGTTACTTTTACCTGTTTTTAAATCTTACATAAATGGAATTAATATGTGTATTCTTTTGCTGATTTCTTTAGCTCATTATTTTGTGCGATTTTCCTCACTTTTTGTGCAGTTGTAGTTGGTTTAATTTTATTGCTTTATAATGCTGCTATGAACATTCTGGCTCATGTCTTTTCATGATGTGTATATTTTTCTGTAGGTATATTCCATTGAAATTGCTGGGTCAAGGGATATGCATGCTTTAGTAGATACCACCAATTTTCCAACGTAGTTTTACCAATTTACATGCCCTCCAGCGGTGTATGAGAGTTCCATCTGCTGTACATCCTTACTACACTTGATATTGTCCTAATCATTTTCATTCATTTATTCGTTTATTCACCTATTATGTGCCATGTCCTAACCTAGGCCCTGGTGATGCAATTACGAAGAAGGTAGACAAGGTTCCAAGATCCTTGTTCTTTTAGAAGATAACATTCTAATGTGGGAAACACAATAAATAAGAAAGTAGTATTGTTTTGATAAGAGTGGTATAATGGAACGTTACCCTGAGGGGCTGAATTAGGGTGTGTGTGGGCTGTAACTTTCCATTGGGTGTCAGTGAAGGCTTCTCTGAGGAAGTTTCATTGGAGCTGAGACCTGAGCCATCTCTGCAAAGAATTGCAAGAAGATACACAGCAACTGCATAAGTCTGAGGGCACTAACAACCTTTGTTTGAGATTTGGAAAAGCAAGCCTGGAGCAGGTTATGTACTCCAGGCCTAGATAATCCTCTTTCCTACCCGCTGCCTGCTCAGCCTACAGTGAATCACCCACCTTTGCACACACATATGCATATATCACCTCCCTCCTTATCCACAGTTTCACTTTTCCAGGTTTGTTACCTGCTTCAACTGTGATGCCTGCTTTAGTAAGCTAAAATATTTTAGTAAGCTAAAATTAAGTAAAAAATTTCAGAAATAAAAACTCCTAAGTTTTAAATTGTACGTGGTACTGAGTAACACGATGAAATCTTGTGCTGTCCAGCTCTGTCTTGCCCAGGACTTGAATCATCCTTTTGTCCAGTGTTATCCATGCTGTATGTGCTACCTGCTGGTTAGCCAGCTCCATTATCAGATTGGTTATGAGATATTTTGGGAGAAAGACCACATGCACATAACTTTTATTACAGTATATTATTATAATTATTGTTAGTTATTATTGTTAATCTCTTAACTGTGCCTAATTTATAAATTAAACTTTATCATAGGTATGTACATGTAGGAAAAAACATAGTGGATGTAGGGTTCAGAATCCACAGTTTCCAGCATCTACTGGCGGGGGGTCTTCAAACGTATCCCCTGAGGATAAGGGGACTACTGTACGGTTTCATTGAATGCCACTTCTGACCTAGAAAAGGAATGTTAAATTTTATCTTGACTTTGCTTTGAAGGAGGATGCCTGCTTTAGTAAGCTAAAATATGGCTGGATTTAAGAGTCGGGGTATGGATTTAATGCCTTAGGTACCTTATTGATATGGACATAGTCCTTCCATATGCCAATTTTTGGTTTGAAAACATTAGCTCATTATACCAATGTAATCAAATATCAGAGTGTTAAATCAGGCCATTTATCTTAAAGTTAGATTATTTAAGAGTTGTGGAACATTTGCTGAGAGATACCAAGTTGTCACAAAGTACTCTTGCTGATATTCCAGAGCTTAGTGAGTACTTTGATTTACTTGAATCTTTTGTTTGTATCTCAGTAGCCTAATTTGCCTAATTCATTGAGGAAAGGTGAAAAGTTCTAAGTTTACTACCTGAGAGGTCCATATTACAATAGCCATTAAAAGGAACATGTATTGAAGGTAAGTTAGTTTTACATATTTCCTTGAATGTATATTGAGAGTCAAACACTTTTACTGATTTTTATCAAAAGATTATATGAATCCAAATTCATTTTTTACTTGAGCACAAGTCTTCTACTCATTTTTACTTATTAACCTTCTTTGCTGTTTGTTCATTTCTGCAATGTACTTAGTTGAAATTAGATTGAATTTAATAGTACTCTTGTGAATTATACTTTTGGTATTCTTAATAGCAATCATTCAAGCGTCATTTGTAAGCTGTGTATTTACTAATGGCTCAATATCTTCTTTTTGCTAATTAGTTTCCACAAAGTACACTAAAAAAAAACCTTTTTTAAAAGCAGAAAAGCTTATGGGTCAAAATGTTCCCAAGTAGAATGTAGGACATAATGCTACTAAACTTTAGGAAACCAGCTTGTTTGTTTAATCGGGATGTTAATATGCTATTCTAATTCTGTCATTTTCAACATAGACTGAATTATTGGTCCTATTATCAGTAATTCACAGTAATTTTGTCAGACTGGATTTAAAAAAATTTTTTTTACTCCAGTTTTATCAAATTTTAGTTTCATAAGAAAAGCAGTGAATTTAGAAGAATGGTTTATTTTCTTTATTACTTAAACTTGAGATATTGAGTTGGCATTATTATTAGCACTAGTAGATTGCAGTTTCCAAATTTTAAAGAGGATTGGCATCTGTTTGGATTTTTCATTCACATTTCTGTTTTTGTCGGTAAAAATGCCTATTTTTTTTTTTTCATTTATTTTCAGCTGTTTCACAATACTTATATCTAGGACCTGTCAGCTGCAAAGCACGATACCCCTTACAACTGCCAGAGCAGTACAGGTTAGTGACACTTTTTTCTTTTAATGTAAGTGGAATATGTGATAAAAAACATTGCCACTCTCTCAAATGCCTCTTGCATGTTTTTGCCTCCAGTCCTTGGAATCCCTCATTTCATTCCATCTTATCAGTATCTACTCGTTATTCAATATTCACTTCAGAATACCCTTGTAGGAAATTGTTCCTCCCTGAACAGCCATAGATCTGGTCCTCTAACTTGGAGTAGTCTCTCTGGCTCTTTCTCTTGGTTCTTTGCAGTATTAGTTGTCCTTTATTGCTTTTGTATTTATCCCTTTCTAGATTATAAGTATTATCGAGGTATTTGCAACTGTTGTTTCATTGTGTTTTAGTTTCAAGTTGTTAGATATTTCCTACCTACCACTGTACCTTGTACCTAGTAAGTACTTCTAAACATTTATGGTTTCATTTCTTATATATTGACCCTCCTGTTTCACTGGATAGGAAGAAACAGGCATAGTATAAGATGTACACAGATGATACTTAATTACTTATATATGATCTTCAGAGAGCTTGACTTTTTCCTCAAAGAAAATGTTTTCTAAATCTAAAATGTGTGGAACTGTAGCTGGGTCAGAAAAGAAAGCCGAACTCATTGAAGGCAGGGACTGTGTTGTAGAATTCATCAGATTGTTATCACGCTAACTCAGTTAGTGACTTTTACACAGGAGCAATGGCATACTATTCTACACGGCAGAAGACCGGACGAACTTATTCATGGGTTGGCAAGCCATTGTTGGATCAAAAACTACACTACCAAATCTATAAGTGAGTAATAGAGTACTTTGGTTGTCCTGGAAATAAAGCTTCTCCAGACTAAACCATTAATAACTTGTATTTCACCTGTTCTAGTTACTATAGATTGAGGATTGAGGGACAGTAAATATGAATTGATTACATGAGAGATTTTGTTTGATGCAAGAAGATGGTAGCATAAATATAGCAGTTAGTGATAGCGATACATTATGTCAGGTTAATAAAATTTGATAAGTATGATAATGTCATATCTACTTAAGGTAGGTTCTGTGTAATTCTGCATGATAACAGGGTAGGATTAGATGTGCTTACTATATCCTCCCAGCCCTAGAGATCTCCAAACAATTTGATATTTTTATTGGGCAACTTTCATGCCTTGGGAAACCTTTAGCATTCTTTGTTAATAATAACTGAGAGAAGTAAGGTTCATATTACGACCTCTAGATTAATCATTAAATGCTAAAACAATTCATTCCACCCATTTCATCTACTCTTGCATGTGAATTGGTTTTCAAATAGAATTGGTCAGCAGAGAGAATTTATTCAGGGGACTTTCTAGTTGGAGCGCACTTTCCTCTGTGCCCAGAGTATCTGAAGAGCTTGGCCCACCCTGTGATTTCCTAACATGTTTCTGTTACTTCTTAGAGAAATGAATGTGATATTACAAGGTTGTTCGACTCCAATTCACATCCATGTTGGACAGTTCGTGTTGGTTGAAGGGGATGATGATGAAAATCCGTATGTTGCTAAATTGATCGAGCTGTTTGAAGATGGTGAGTTTTGGGCTGAATGAAACCCATTTCTTGTCATGAAAAATTGGGAGGTGCTAGGTGGTGGGAAGTGGGGCAGCTGCTGATTCCTCTGTTCAAAGCAGCATATAAAGGGTGTGAACCCTAGATTCTGTTGTGGGGTCACTTAAGCACTAGCTGTAACCTTGTCTTCACTCACTAGACCAGTATTAGATAAAATAGGATAGGGGGGCTCAAGAATTTAGCTTTTCTATTATTTTTAAGAATGAGTAAGAATGGCCATTAAGGCAGGATTTTTGGAATAGAGCAAAAAGATGAGGGAAGAGGGAAGAAAAAAATAGGTGATTTGCTCCCTGATAGAGACTTGTCCTTTGATTTTGCCATGAGGAAGTTAGTAATGAATTTTGTAACTGTAACTTAATGAGGGTGGAGGTAAAGTTGTGTTATTGGAAAGGTGTATCAATTGATGTTCAGTCAGGAAAACAAAAACACCTTAGGTATTTTACCCAGAGACACTTGTGATAATTGTTGAAAAGGTGGGAGGAATAAAAGATGGTGTTTCCCAGAGATCAGCAAGTAAAGATAGCAACTATTGCACCTAAGGCTGGAGGACCAAAAGGGGAAATAGTGTTAACCAGAGCCTGCAGATCCACACTCACTGCTTCAGCTTATTTTCTGAGCCTTTAACACTTCGCGAAGTAGAGAGGAGTACAGAAAAGTGGGAATAGGACAGAGCTCCAAAAGGAGGATTAAGAAGAAAGATAGCAATTTGAAACTACACAAAACTTCCTCTTCCAAGAGCTGGGTGAGGAATGACGAGGTAGTTAGTCCTATTGCAGTTTGTATGCCTAAAGGAAGGAACTGATAATAGTGAGTGGGTAAAGATGTTTTTCCATTACAGCGATAGGAAGGATGTTCCACAAGAATGGAGGAAAACGTCATTAAACTAACATCCACTAGGGGGAGCACCTCAGCATTGTGGGCTTTTGTATTTGAAGTATGGGCCCTTGTGTACCGATTATAGAATCCCTGTGCTCCATTGCATGGCTTCAGTCTTTCTCTGAAGAGAGCTAAGGAAAGGAGGAGGCAATGATGATGACACTAGAGTGTATATCCTTTCACTTGGAGCTAATGCTGGTATGGAGTGATATCAATGGTATATTACAATAATAAAACTGAAGGTTGCAAGCATATGTTTGCCAGAAGTCATCTCAGTGGCTGATGCTCTGATTCTTGCCAGGATTTTTGTTTTTCTGCTGTTTGATTTGCAACATTTGTTCAGTGCCCTTGATTAGAATTGCCCTTCTCAAATGCCTTATGTAATTTCTTTGGACTGATAGCACCATTAGGAAGTGCAGCAAAATGAGAACATGGGTGCTGAGTTGAGTCAGATTGCTGCTGGTTGGTCTTGTGACCTTTGACAAATTATCTAAGGTCCCTGTAACTTGATTACTTCTATAAAAGGGAGAGAACCATAGTACCTACCTTGTAGAGTTATTGTAGGATTAAAAATAATGTGTTAATCGAGTATCATCAAGTGCCTGTCACAGTGTCTGGCACATAAAAAGAGCTTAATAAAATATTTTCACATTTTCTTAACCTTTCCTTTTCCACCTATCCCTCCTAGATTTTGAATCTTATTCCAAGAAACGTGCTCGAGTACAGTGGTTTATCCGATTCTGTGAAATCTCTATTAATAAACAGCATTTGCTGGGCCGGAAGCCGGCTAAACAGGAAATATTCTGGTATGATTACCCTGCCTGTGACAGCAACATTAACGCTGAAACCATCATTGGCTCTGTGCGGGTAGGTGATGCCTTGATTCTCAGTTCTGTCTTGAAACTTATTTTTGGCTCTCTCCTAAACTGCATAACCTCAAAGATATTACTGGTTCTAATTTACCCCACAGAAATGAATTTTTTGCTGTTTGTCATCTTCTCGGCTTGTCTGCCTGCTTTATCTCAACAGATATTTATTGAAAGCACTTACCATGTGTTAGGAGCTTCCTGGAGGGAGTGACATTTAGGTTGTGACCTGAGGGATGAGCAGGAATTAGCAAATATACCTCAGTGAGAAATTATATTTAGCTATGATTGTGGCAGGCATGAAGTATTGCAAGGCTGAATATGCTTGCTTACCTTCAGTAAATCAGTACAAAGAGTGCCAGTTGATATAGGCAAATTTGCATTATGGGATTTTATGATAAATCAGATTCCAATGAGCTGTAGACTGAATGGAGGCACTGATTTGGAGACTAAGATATGGGTTATTCTTTGAGCTGCTTCAGGACCAAAATGAGGTCCGATTGTGATGTGAAGTGTGGTCACATGGTGATTTGGTGGTTGGTTTAATGGTAGTACAGAGAAGCTTTGGTCTAGCATGACTCTAGTCAGATTTTTCCAATCTGTGGGCGCAGCCTAACCTGCCAAGTTAAATGAGTGAAGAAATGAAAGGCAGTTGTAGAAGTTGAAGCAATAACATGGGTAGATCTGCAAATGCAGAGTGGGAAGAGGATGTTTAGGCAAGAGCACGATGGTGGGAATGAGCAGGGCTGTGATAAGCCAAGCTCGACTAGTGATGGCCATTTTGAAGAGTATTGAGCACTCAGGAGGTAAAATGGGGTCAGATTTTAGAAGGCATCGAAAATCACTTTAAGTAATCTGAGCTTCCCATGGTGGGGAGCCATTATAGACTATTGAGCAGAGAGCATGCTTAGAGAAATTTTTGTGGGGAAATTTGGCATGGCTGAATAGAATGCCCTGGAAAAGCAAGCAACATGGGGTATAGATATGCTATGCCATGTCTGTGCCTCTTAAGCTTGGAAAAGTAATGTTTAGGTAAGGATACATACTTAAATGTTTTTTAATCAGAGCTCTCGTGGAGCATTTCTTGGCTCTTTTGGTTATTTCTTCCTATCCACCCATCTTTCCTAAATACAGGTAGTAGCTTTAGGCCCAGATGAAGTTATACCTAAGGATCTGAAAAATGAGGAGACACTCTTTGTGAAACTATCTTGGAATGAGAAGATGTTCAGACCACTATCTCCAGAACTATTTGCAGAATTGGATAAGCTACAAGAAAGCAGTCCTACATGCCAGAAACCCATAAGAGCCAAGACTAAGAGCATAGAAAGCCCTTCTTGGACCACAGCAGAGCATGCAGTCAAAAGGATTGAGTCAAGGCATTCCACCTCCAAATCACACCAAACTCCTACCCATCCTGTCACCCCAAGGGCAAGGAAGAGGCTAGAGCTTATCAGTAAGTGTGGAATGGGTCACAGTGGGCAATATTGAGGCTAAAGTAATATGATAAAATATTAATTCATGCTACAGTATTAAGTTAGTGAAGGGGCAGGCCAGGTACTGATTAGATATGTTGAAATGTACATGACATAAAATTTACTTTTTTAATTATTTTTAACTGCACAGTTTAGTGCCATTAAGTATATTTATTTACTTATACATTTATATATATTTGTTTATATATTTATATATATATATTTACATTGTCGCACAACCTCATCATCATCTTCTAACCATTAAACAATAACTCCCCATTCCCCTATCCTCTGGTAGCCACCATTCTACTTTCTGTCTCTGAATTTGACCACTCAGAGTACCTCTTATAAGTGGAATCATACAGTGTTGTCCTTTTCTGACTGGCTTATTTAAGTTAGCATAATGTCCTCAAGGTTCATCCATGTTATATAATGTGTCAAAGTTTGTCTTTTTAAGGAGGAACATCCCATTGTATGTATATACATTTTGTTTATCCATTCATCTATTTATCATAGTTTATTTGTGTAGCTTCTACCTTTTAGCTATTGTGCCTAATGCTGTTATGAATACAGGTATACAAATAACTGCTCAAGTCCTTTTATTTTGGACATATACCCAGAAGTGGAATTCCTGGATCATATGGTGATTCTAGTTTTAGTTTTCTGAGGAACCACCATACTGTGCACCATTTTACATTCTCACCAACAGTGCACAAGGGTTCCAATTTCTCCACCTCCTCCCAACACTGGTTATTTTTTGTTTTTGATAGTAGCCATCCTCATAGTTGTGAGATTGATGTTTTTCTCTATGATTATGATTTATATTTATATTTCATACAACTCTTGAAATCATACTGATACTTCTAGTCTATAGACCATAAGGCTCTTCCCTTCTTTCCCATAATCCATAATTATATCTCTCTTCTTCAGGAAGAAGAGCCCTGGTTCACAGGAGCAAGCCTGATATACACAAAAGAGTTTCATGATAGCTATCCCAATGCTACTACCAGCAGTAAACTTACCAAGTAAAGTTCAAAATTTATTTGTAGTGCTTTATGCCTTTAGAATATGTTCCATTGAGGAAGTAAAGTTACTTTAATTTTTTTCTTCTGATGGTTATATTATTGGTGATATACAGTTAGGTTCTTTTATTTCTGTTTAATTTTTAGGGCTTTTCCCATCTTTGATTTTTTAGACATGTGAAATATTAACATAGTTAAAGAGTCAAAACTATTTAAAACAAGTGTAGTTAGAGAAGCATATTCTTTTCTTTACCCTTGCATCCTGTTTCTAGCATCTTTTATAGATAATCAATTTGATTAGTTTTTGGTTAATCTTTCCTGTGTTTTTTGCAAAAAATCAACAGATATATACATAAACACATGTGCACACACATACATACATACAAACATGCATATAATTTTATTTTCTTATTCAGTAATATTCAGTTGGGTAGCATGCTGTATATATTCTTTTTCCTGTCTTACTCTTTTCACTTACAATGTATCTGAAATCCACTCTGGCTATTCTGAGAGCTCATCCTGATACGTGTCATTCATCAGTCCTTTTGAATTTTTTGTTTATATGCCAAGTTCATTGGGTATAAATTATGTGTATTCTTGATAGCTCTTTATTATGTTTTTAGAAGCTGAACATAAATATATAAAACATTTGGAAAATGCAGAAAAATTATTAAAGAAATACTCTGTAATATCACCATTTGGAAATAATTGCAGTATTTTTTGACTGTTGATTTTGTAGGACGTTGAAAGTTAGGGTAAGAAATTGACACAGTTAAATAATTAGAAGAGAAGATACGATGAAATTATTTTGGATGAATTGTTTTTGACAGATGGGAAAATAAGGTATAAAGGAGACTAGGATATTGGGACATTTTTATGTTAATCAAGACCTGAGTTTTCTTCATTTTTACCAAAAAAAAATTTAATAAATTTAATAATTTTAGCTTCATAGTCAAAGACCTCTATGATTTGGTCTTAGATAACTTTTTAAAGTCAGGATTATAGAGATATAATTTATATACAGCAAAATTTCCCTTTTTAGTGTATAGTTCTATAAGTTATTATAAACACATAGAGTTGTATAACTACCATTATAATCAAGATATAGGACAATTTCATCACCCCAGAATTCTCTTGTATACCTTTGTAATCAACCAGCCCTGCCGTTCACTCCTAGCCCTGGGTAGGCACTGATCTGTTTTCTGTCTCTATCGTTATGCCTTTTCCAGAAGAGCATGTAAATGGACTCATACTGTATGTAGCTTTTGAGTCTGACTCCTTTGACTTAGCGTAATATATCTGAGATTCATCCATGTTGTTGAATGTATCAGTAATTTGTTTCTTTTTTTATTGCTATGTAGTATTCCATTATGTGGATTTATCATAGTTTATCTACTCCCAGTTTAAGGATATTTGTGCTGTTCCTAGTTTTTAGTGATTATGAGGAAAACCACCGTAAACATTCATATGCAGGTACTTGGTGACTCTTCTTATCTGAAGCTACTCCCCACATACCATGTGCTGTGACTAAAGTGAACTCCTCTATGCCCATGCTTTCCTGCCTCATTGCCTTAGCTTACATCAATCTCATTTATATTTTGCACATATCCCTCTCCTTTCCTTTTCAACTCTGTTGAAATTTTGCCTTTCTTTCAAGCTCTAGCTCAGAAACCATCTTTATTAGCATGTAAGTGTTTTAGGACATTATTTTACTTCATATTAGAGACATCCATGTATAATATCTTCTCTGATAGACTAGAGTGTCCTGTGGTTGGGGACCAGGTCTCATTGAGCTTTTGTTTCCTCCAAGCACCTAGCACATACTTTGCCATTTTAACAGTTCAATTGATATCTGTAAATGAATGCCTGGGTTCTTGGCGCCCGTGGTCTTGGTGAGGAGAGGAGCAAATCCAAATATGGTTCTGTGTATTCACTGAACCCAGCTGATTGCCCTGAGGGTTCCACCTTCTCTCTATTGGTAGATATAATACGGGTTAAGAAAAATCTAGGTCTTGGTGTTACTCAGCAGAGCCATCGGTATAAATGTTTTCAAATGCTATTGAATGGGAGCTGAGGTTGTGCAGTATTACCTTTGGTTGTATACCGCTGTTCTGGTAGATTACTTCAGAGAAACATGATTGAACATTTATCTACAAAAGCTGACTTAATAGCTGATTTATCATTTTAAGTAGGAAAATCAACCGTGGAATTTAGGAGAGACTAAAAATAATTTAGCTACCTTTTGTGGGGGAAAAAAGCATGAAATAGTTCAAAATATGGATAACTCATGTCTTTGTATAACTTCAGTGGATGAATTTAGCTATAATGAGATTGGGAGTGTTTATAGTGCTGGTTATAAAATTCACATGTGGTGGTGATTTTTTTTCTTGGGCTTAGGTTCTCCTAGGACACCTAATGCTAAGATTACCCAGCAGACTTCGTGGGTTTCTTTGGATTCTCCCAGGAGAACTAAACAAAAAGTGGCCTTCTCTGAGGTTAGCTCACCTTCTAAGAAGTCTCGGCCTGGTGGACTTCAGACCTTGTCTGTGGCTCTGAAAGCCCCAGAGAAAACTGGAGAGATTCAAAACTCTTGTGCTGAAGAGGACAAGAAAGCTTCACGTGAATGTCACATGATTCTGAGAACTCGAGTCTCAGCTTTGAAATTAGAGATTAGTGAAGAAAGAAGACTTACCCCTTTCCGGAAGGGGAAAAGATCCTCAGTGGTGCCTTCTGTGGTTCTGAAACCAGAAAAGATCAAAAAGAGGTGACCAGGATATTACTCTGCCTCCCATAGAGCAAATCGTGATCCTTCATATGATATGAAATGTGTGGGTTACAAATCTGAATGTGTCACAGAATTAATGAGCTTTTCCAAAATACAGGTTTCTGAGATTCTTCCCAGGCATAATGAATCAAACTCCAAGTGTTTGGGCCCAGGAATCTGCATTTTTGAAATGCTCTTTGGGTGATTCTGGTATACCCAGCTATCCTTTGGAGATCACTGCTCCAGAAGATAATTTCCCAAACTTGAATTGCTTCACATTTGTGGATCTCATTATTTGCTGTGGCACTTTGCCACGTTTTAATAGTCATTTTTTAATTTTTTTATAAAATGGAAACCATTCTCAAATACTTTAGTATAAGTAGATAACACATCTAGAACAAAGTTTGCAGTTTGACTCTAGACAGTGTTTGTAAATAATGGGCTGCACAAATAACGTGAGAAGCCAAAAATTACACATTTTGGTGTTTCCTGCTCAGAAATTCCAGCACCCAGTTCAATAGTTCAGATTGATAAATGCTTTGTACTTAAAATATATCTGCATTTCTGCTAACCTTGAGCCTGAGTGGACAGTGAATTCACAGAAGCATCAGAAACAAAAGAGGACGAGAAACTCTGCCTGCGATCAGTATATTCTGATCTCTAGTCGGGGAGGCGGTGAGTCAGATTTAATTGATAAGCTTTAAGCAAACTTCGATCTCTGGGTCTGAATAAAACTTCAATTATAAACTTTTTAGCAAAGTGTAATTAGCTCTTTCCAAAGTAGCTGTAAAATAATAGGAGCCAGTCAGGCCACATGACCATCTTCTGGTGCCTGCACTGATCCCTAGTGCCAAAACTGCTTTCCATAACCTTGCTATGATATCTTGCAGGGAAGCAAAAGAACCAGAAGCTCAGGATGAAGCTACCTCTGCTCCTCATCATATCCGCAGAAAGAGTTCTCTCTTGACTTTGAAACGGATTAGGCAGCAGCTTCGGTAAGAGTGTGCTTTGGCAGGCAGGAAAGTTCTTATCACTGCCATCTGTGATATCTATAATTTTATTAAAGCCTCTTATAGTTCTTGTTTGCTCTTTGCTCTACCATTGAAATTCATCCTTTACCTCGTATGTCTGGAATTATGTTAGTTTCACATAAATGTCATTGTCTGAAAGGGGCAAGAAACACTGCCCTGGGCTTAGGTGGCTCCCAGGGCCCCATCTTCATTACTAGCAAGACTGTTAGTGGGGTGCCTAAAAGCATGAACTTTGATTTTGGTAGACTTGGATTTGAAATTGAGCTTTGTCATTTACTATCTGTGTAAGCTTGGGAAGTTCTCTTAACCTTTCTAAGCCTCGATTCCCTCATCTCTAAAATGAGAATAATAATATAGTCACAAAATAATATAAAGCTCTTAGCAGAGCAAAGAAGTGGACTCTGCAACACCTCTAATCCACACTGACCTGTTAGGGAGCTTCTTATTTAGACTTCAAACACTGAATATCTGAAAATAAGTTGTCCCACCATTCAGGTTTTTAGGTAATAGTGAAGATAACCAAGAAGAAGAAGAGTTTCTTCCAGCAGCAGAAATTTCAGACTCTAACAGTAAGGAGGAAGAGACTTCCATGCCACGCCTTCCAAGGAGGACACGAGGTTGCGTGTCCAGAAACCTTCAGTCTTCTGTGACGTTGCCTTTAAAGAGCCCCACCAGGACACCAAAGAAAACTGTAAGGTTCTTTCAGGTTTATTTTCCAGTGAAGCATCCTTCTCTTAATTTAAAAATTGTGATGGCTGGGATCACACTTTTAGTAATAGCTGGATTCTGAGCACAGGTTTGTGATAGTCAAAGCTATTACATTTGGAACATTCATGTAGAAAGGATCTATGTGAACCCTGGGGCTGAAAATGAATCCAGTAGACAGTGATTTTTGAGTTCAAGTTCCTTTTAAGACACAGAACCAAATGGCCAAGAGCCAAATTTTCAGAAGGAATGACAAAAACTGGTGCCTCATCTTTGCATTTCTCACAAAATTCAGTAGAGTGCTTCGTGCATAATCAGTGCTTAGTGGGCATTGAATTCAAGGCTGCTGAGCCATGTTGTTGGTTTTGTTGTGTCACTTGATACACCTGAGAAACAGAGAGCACTACTCAGGTACTGGTAATGAACTGCGTGATGGTAAGGTGGAAGAGATAAATGGACTGCTTCCTGTTTAACGTTAATATGTTGAAGGCTATTAAGAGGGTCTTGCCATGTTCAGATGTGTGTGAGAAATGTGTAAACACAATTAAATTAGCTTCATTATCACATGACTTCTCAAGGCCATTTATTAATTTATTAATGTTATTGTGACCTTCAAATAGAGCATTAGAGTATGAATCTTTGACCAGGAAACTTTTCATGGAGCATAGTGTTCTTTGGAACACAATTTAGAAATGCCTATTTAGGAGACTTTTTCTAAAGCTGATTTCCATTTTTCCATATCAAGAAAAATGTGATTAGGCTTAGATTGAAGTCAAAGAAAGACCTCTAGGGAAGGAAATCCAATAGATCACTTTTGGACTTAGGCAATCTTACCTGGAGTTATTATGCAAATAACTCACCTAAGTTCTGGTATGATATGCATCTCCTGGGTCCATCCAGAAGAAAAGATACTGGGTATGAGGCCATCTTTAGCATATTAAAAAAGGTCAGAAGTCCACCAAGTTTTTGATAACTTTTCAGGAAGATTTTGTTATTCTTTTCCTCTTTTTGCCAGAGTTAATAGACGTTAAACTGTTAAACGGGGCCTAAGTGCTTTCTGCCTGAGGAAGAGGTGGAGAGGTTATCACTATGTAGCCTGGCAGAAAGCAGAGAGTAGGTAATTGAAATGCCCCCCACAAAAGGGAGTGCTTTGTGGAAATACCAGGAAGATGAAGGGGTAGCAGGCCGCTCTAGTGAGCCAGGAGGAAGGAAAACGAGAATAGTGCTGTTAGCCTAGACTGAGTGGTGACTGTGGGTTTTAGAGTGGAAAGATCTGGTGAGGTTTCTCTAAGTACTGTGTTGTGGATTGTGGAAGTACTAAGATGGTAAAGTTTGACCATATTTTCAAACAAATCTAGAGGAGGATCCTCTGAATCAAACCCAGTTTATGTCTCCTACTCTACCCTATATTTGGGCAGAGAAGTTAAGATTTCTTAATTTCTTGTGTTTCTTTCAAGGTAATATTTTATTTTTAAATAGTATTTAATCCATACTTTCATTCATTCTTCCCTCAGGTTGATATTGCTTTCAAATTCAAATACTGTGTATAAATTAGAAAAAAAAATTGTGTTAGACTATGAACAAAGTGTATGTGTGATGTGAGGAGAGAGTGAGCAAGAATCATGGTACTTTCTACATAAAGGAACTAAGGCATTTAGCACCACTCTTTTTAGCAGGTCGTTAGGAATCAGATTTACTAATGTTTCCTGGATAATGTTTTGCTTTCTTTTTCTTCTAAACATATTCTCTTTTTCTGAATACAGCCCAAGCCTAGAATGCCACATCGTGCCACTCCCCAGATCCGCAGCCGAAACCTGGCTGCCCAGGAGCCGGCCAACGTGCTGGAGGAGGCTCGGCTGAGGTAACGCTACTCGTGGGCCCCTTTTAGATAAGGAGAAAAGGGCTTCTGCTTTCATTCACATAAAATAGGAGTAAATGATATTAAAATGAAATGAATGTGTGTGCTTACAGAGAAAGACCTCTCAAGCAATGTCTGGATGAGCTAATGCAGACAGGTTCTAGAAGGAGTAATCTTTCATTCTATTGCCATCATTTTCTCAGGCATGGAAGATGATTAGTCAGGACACTGCTTCTCAGTTATGGTACTGTTAGAACAAATGGGGACTTTTTCAGAATACGTAAGACTAGATCCTGTCAGAAATCAATTGAATCAGAACCTGTTATGGGATGAGGTCCAACCAGGTGATTTGGTTTGGAAAGCTTCCCAGGTGAGATGTACCCTTGCTTAGAACCACTGAGTTCGGTGATTTGGGTGGAGAAAAGGATTATAAGGCCACGTGAAGGATTTGAGAATGAAGGCGTACCCTTGGTTTTGTGATTAAATTTTCTTATAGAAACAAGAAAAGTCTTTTTAATCTGTCTTTAAGATGGTGAAATCCTTTTAAAGTCCTCCTCTTCCTTTATTTAGGCTGCATGTTTCTGCTGTACCTGAGTCTCTTCCCTGTCGGGAACAGGAATTCCAAGACATCTACAACTTCGTGGAAAGCAAATTGCTTGACCATACTGGAGGGTGAGTCAGACTGAGGCAGGCAGAGCGGTCAGGGGAGAAGGCCCTCGCTAGTGTACCACCTTGGTGTCAGGAAAGCAGGTAAACTTGTTGCTATACCTAAAACTGCTAAAGCAGCTTTTGTTGTCAAAATAATTTTATAGGAATTATGTATTTCAGAGAAAAGTGGAATTGGCCTTCTTTGGGTAGGTAGTTTCCATACTGCATTGCTTATAGAATGAATGATTCTATATAAACAGGTTCTGCTCTGACCAGCTTCCAAGGGTGGGCCTTTCTATCCCCACCTCCCCATTTCAGGGGTCTTTGTCCTTCCTTCAGGACATATTTGCACACTACTAAACTGGTGATAGTGTGACGCAGCTGGCAAGACCTAGCCCATGGATCTTCTCTTCTTGCCTAGGTGCATGTACATCTCTGGAGTCCCTGGGACAGGGAAGACTGCCACTGTGCATGAGGTGATACACTGCCTTCAGCAGGCAGCCCAAACAAATGATGTTCCTCCCTTTAAATATGTTGAAGTCAATGGTATGAAGTTGACGGAGCCGCGCCAAGTCTACGTGCAAATCTGGAAGGTAAGGGAAAGGTTTACTTAATTTTGTGTCTATGACATGTTTTTAGCATGCCAGGCATTCTCCTGAGTATAGAGGTAGGTAGCAAGGGCAAGGAGGGCAGAATTTCTACCCGCAAGGACTCTAAAGCCTTGGAGCTTGATATGAATTATTGGAAGCCAGTATTTAACCAACATGTTGGAAACCATTTACACACAGGAGGCATGTGGCAAACAATAGAAAAGGGATTAGAGGTAGACCAGAGTTTGAACCTCACTCTTTGATTCATTAGCTGTTATCTTGTAAAAAAATAATGTCCAGTTATAAATAGAGTCATGCAGTAATGATTTTGGATGGGCTTCTGGGACCAGTCTCTGGTTCATTTGCATTTCAATCACACAGATGCTTTATTGGTACCTTCTCTTCTTCTAGGTTAAAGTTAAGCTAGAGTGGAAAGCAGAGTATAAGATACTGCAGTCCTCAGACTAAATAGCTTCCTCTACTTTCAAATTTAACTTTAATCCCAGGACAGTAAAGTCCTTACAGTTTGCTATACTTATTTTCCCCCAATGCAGAAGCTGACAGGCCAAAAGGCAACAGCTAACCATGCAGCAGAACTGCTGGCAAAGCGATTTTGCACCCAAGGATCCTCTCAGGAAACCACTGTGCTGCTTGTGGATGAGGTAAGGAGGTGCCCACAAGAGGACTGGAGAAGAAGTGGCGTGGTTCTTGATTGGGATGTTCTGGGAGCAAGTACTGAGTGGGAGGGAAATTGTCCTGGCTCCCTTCTTCATTCACCTGAGCCTATTCTCTGGTGGCAAGACATATGTCCTTTGACTTCTTTGCTACTTTGGTGGTGTGACCTGAGAAGCGCATGCAGCTAAAGCAGGGGTAACAGGTCTTCACTGAGGCCCTGGCTCCGTCTCTGGTTTATGTTGCATTTCCCTGGCAGCTCGACCTTCTCTGGACTCAGAAACAAGACGTAATGTACAATCTCTTTGACTGGCCCACTCACAAGGACGCCCGGCTTGTGGTCCTGACCATTGCCAACACCATGGACCTGCCAGAGCGCATAATGATGAACCGGGTATCAAGCCGACTGGTAGGTCCTAAGGCCAATCCAAGCTGTTCTTACAAATCCATAAGCTGGGCCAAGGAGTTCTGCACAAATGAATACATAGGAAACAAAAGTAAATGGGAAAAGTAAGAAATGTGGTTTTTGAAATTCTGATCATTTTAAATTGGAATGAAATGTCACTATTGCATGATTTGTTGCAAACGTGTCTTAGTGTTCTGCTATATGTGCAGTCTTAAAATTGCAGAGTCCTGGAGGTTTAATTATAAAAAAAAATAATTTAGCACTTACCCTTGCTAGGCAGTGTGAGATGCATAGAGTATAGCAGTGAAACCAGGCAGTCGCCTTTGTGGACCTGTGGTTCAGCTGGAAGGACAGCACCAGGTACTGAAAAGCATGATGAGTGAAGCCAGGAGCTGTGCCCGTAGAGATGACAGAGCTGAAGATCCTCCCACCCACTCTAATTAGAGAACCTCTGCTTCTATCTACTTCTAAATGATTCTGTTAGAATAAAAGGATCTTTTAAACTAAATGAAAAGTAGTTGAGAACTACTGCCCAACAGGATACCACTGGCCATTGTCAGTAACGAAGAGCTGGAAGCAGAGCAGTGGTAGTTCCAGCCCGAAATCTGTAATTTGTTATAGGGAACTTGGAAATCGGGTTTGAGGACTAGATGGTGGCTTTCCACCAAGGCTATCAGGGCAATCAGTGAACTTTTTCCTCTGTCATCTTGGCTCCCCAGGGACTCACCAGGATGTCCTTCCAGCCCTATACTCACAGCCAACTGCAGCAGATCCTGGTGTCCCGACTCAAACATTTAAAGGCCTTTGAGGATGATGCCATCCAGTTGGTAGCCAGGAAGGTAAGTCACCCTCAGGCAGCTCCTAGCCGTACCTACAAACCAGGCGGCAAGTCTTTGCTGAGCATCTGTCGGTGTGAGGTCCTGTGCTAGGTGCTCTGAGGATAAAGAGAAATTTAAGAAGTCTTATAAAAACATACAAAAAATAGAAACAAAGTTCTGAAAAATTTCTTAACCTTATTGCATAATTAATTAGAAGGCTATGACTATGGTGGGCTTATATACAAATGAAGATTAATTGATTCAGGCAGCAGGCAACTTTGTATAATGAAAAAGGCAGGGTAGTTAGACAAACCTGGTTTGAATTCTGGCTCTAACACTTAAGAGGCATGTGGACGGTTATAGGAAAGTTATTTTAAAACTTCCTAAGCCTAAGTTTTCTTCTCTGAAAAATGGGAATAATACTAGCTACCTCTTAGAGTCATTGTGAGAATTAAATTCAGTCACGTCTGTAATGTGCCTAGCAAGGTACATGTGTCTCCACAGTAGGTATAAAGTTTGGACTACCTACATCCATCAGGCGCACTGGGAAAATGCCAGCCAAAATTCCACTAAGACTAGTCTCCAAGGGTGCTGAGGAACAAAGTGGGTTAAATATCTGCTTCAAGCTGAATGTAAGAAACCACACATCCACAATATTTCAGCACTTAAAAGAATTATAAATGTATTTCAAGTGTCTTGCCCAAAACCATGTGAACTCTGAATGCCTATAGCAGCAGCACTTGTAACACCTGCTCAGAGCTGGCTACTTAGTACATTAGGTACTGGGGTCAGGTGAGCCAGGTATGATGCTTGTCTTTGCTTTCTAGGAGAGAAATCCTCAAAGTTACTATCTAACCCTCCTCTTGGGTAGTTTTTCACTTCTGCTATCATGCAATTTCTAAAAGTTCTTTTTTTCTCTGAATGGTCCTTTGTTATGCCATCCTATTTATTTGAGGTTGTCATCTCCTTTTTCCTCCAAGATGCTTTTTTCTGTTGGTTTATCTTGCATTTTTACTTTCCTCACATGTCTTGGTTGTCCACTCAGGTGTAAGAGTGGAGATGACAAAACTTATTGGGAGCTCTGAGCACGAGTGAGGCTTGTTCACCAGGACCTTCACCAGGTTAATCTGAATGGGTCAGTTTCCATATCTTCAGCTCTTCCCCATTGGTCAGATTTCCCAGAGTATGTTTGCTGGGGGAAGTTTCTTGGGGGTAGGAGTGTGGGCTGGAGTCAGAGAGGGTGGAGGTCTTCAAATTCATCCTGCAAATAGTAACTGTTAGCGTTTAGTAAGGGACATCCCCTCCACTGCAACAATACTCGTGTTGTTGCACTATTGCCCTTGTCTCACCAAAAGCAGCCATGCATAGTAGGTAAAAGAATACACATAACTGAGTTCAAATAAAACTTTATAAAAACCTGTGGCAGGCCATAGTTTGCTAATTCCAGATCCAGGGCATCAGTTTCTTAACTTTCAACCACTCCTCCTTATTTTAGCTAAACTTTCCCCTTTACCTCCAGTTCCAATACCATTAACCCTGAGCATTTAAAGTTTGTGTGTGTGTGTGTAATTTAGTATAATTTAGATTTGTTCCTGGATTCCTCATTACTGCTGTAGGAATTGGCTTTCTTCAGCCTGCTAAGTCAACCACTACTCTGCCACCTCTGTCCAACTTGCAGAATTATATTGTTTACTCCTTTTGCTTCCCTTCCTTTTAGGGCTCATGGTCTTTTAATAACATATCAGAAGGCATCAAATTTGGATGCTGTTTTTACCTAAAACTCCTGACTGTAATTTCAAACTTCTCTTTAATTTCTTTACATATAAAGAAACATACCTATTTTGTATTCTGTATCTTATAATTACAATATCTGAAGTCTTTGTGAGTTCAATTCTATTGATTGCTGGTTCCCATGTTATTGTATCTTGATTATTTTTTCTTTTTTGCTGTATGTGCTCGCTTTCCTTAGAGCTTTATCTGAGAATTAATTGAAACCTGGGTTGAAGTTGAGTTCATTCAGATTTTGATTTTGCTTCTGTCAGTTACTGAGGGGCACTATCAACTGGGGCCATTTTAAAAGAAAATTCTCCACTTGAGGCTTTTAGGAGACACAACATAAATCTGGGCTACAGATCCATGTGAGGGCTTGTATTTGCAAAGATTGAGGTTTTTTGTTTGTTTGTTTGTTTAAAACCTTACACCACCTAGCACCAAGGTCAAAATAGGCCATTTTTGCCATCTCTTCTGCATGATGGGTCTCTCATTCACCTTTACCCAGTGAGGTCAGGTCCTTAGTTTATGCAAGGTCTTCTCTTAGATTCCATGTTGGGTGGACCCCAGATTTTTCTTTTCTCTCCTTCATCACAGCAGGAAGGTGCTTACGGTCACCAAGGTTCACAGATACTCTTAGGATTAGGACTGTTTTGGGTGTTTTTTTTTGCCTCCCAGTGTCCCCTGTCCACTTTATTTTTAGGCCTCTGCATCATCTCTTGAGTACACACTATTAACACGGTACTGCTTCACAGGCAGTGGTGATGGTGATTGGAGGAAAGAAGTGATAGGGTGGAAACATCATGGGACATCCTTACCAGTTGGATGCAGGAGATTAGAGGAAGAGAAGACTATAATCTGATACTCATGTTTCTGTCTTAGGATATTGGAAAAGCGATTTTTGCTTTGAATATCTTAAATTTAAATTCTGAAAACAAAAATGTACAAAACATTTAAAAACTCCTGTAATCCCACTTCCCAGAAATGACTGTCTTTGTGTGTTGTGTGTCTATATGTATATATGCCTATACAATTTGCTTTTTTAAACCTAATGTAGCAGGAATTTTAGAAGGAAATAATCATATTGGTATGTCATCAGGCAGGATGTTGTTTCCTGTGATGGTTATCAGGCCAATGGTGGGGATTGCTAGAAAGTACTGGGAATAAAGAAACCAAGAGATCCTTGTAGGCCACAGTGAGTCCAAGGATTACCTTAGTGAAATTTAAAATGCAAGTGGCCTGAGTCATCTTGGGGAGAGTATAAGATTCTCCGAGAAGAGAGCCCAGGAGCCAGCTGCTCAGCCTCTGTGCACATGGAAAGGAAGGAGCAATAGCGAAGCTATTGGCAATGTGGGTTGGTCTGATTAATCTAACCACAGATGCTTCTGGGTCCTCCAGATTTGTGGCTTCCTTCCCTGTTGATTCTGGTTGTTTAGCTATTGACCCGGTGGTATCCAAAATTCACCACATGCTGTGAGGGAGGCTCAAACTGTGGCTTTATCTCCAAAATAGGCTCTGCCTTAACCTCTTGGCTTTGGCTGGCTGCTTATGGGGGCATATTCCTCTCTTCATGCAAGGAATGAGAACCTTGTGTTTTCAGACGGTTCAATATGATCTTGGGCCATTAGATTTCATTTTCCTAATATTAAATAAAGCTGAGAATTTCTGCCTTTTCTACTGTGGCATTATCTGTAAAACTGAGACAGAGATTTGGACTCAGGGAAGAGTCCTAGGCACAGTAGACAGTTACATGCTACAGGACAGTGTTTTGGTCAGTAACAGACCACATACACAACAGTGGTCCCATAAGATTATAATGGGGCTGAAAAATCCGTATCACCTAGCAATGTCCTATCCATCATGAGACCATAGCACAATGCAGTACTCACTTGTTTATGGTGAAACTGGTGTAAACAAACCTACTGTGCTGCCAATCATATAAAAGTATAGCAAGTACTATTATGTATAGTACACAATACTTGGTAATGGTAATGAGACTTCTTGATTTATTTATTTACTATACATTTTATCGTTATTTTAGAGATGTGTAGTAGGCTATACCATCTAGGTTTGTGTAAGTACACTCTGTGATGTTCACACAGGGACAAAATTGCCTAATGACACATTTCTCAGAATGTATCCTCGCTACGTGAGGCATGACTGTGATCATTTATAGCTGAGCCTCCACCAGGTTCCCGGCCAGGGCTAAGTATTTACCTTCAGGCTTAAGTCCATCCTCGGCACCACCTTTCCTTTTTAACTGAACACAGAATCTCTTGGTTTTTCTCCTGGGTTGAGATGGCAAGGGGACCTCAAGGAATAAAATGTTCCCCCATGTAGGTAGCAGCCCTCTCTGGAGATGCACGACGCTGCCTGGACATTTGTAGGCGTGCCACGGAGATCTGTGAGTTCTCCTGCCAGAAGCCTGACTCCCCTGGCCTGGTCACTGTAGCTCACTTACTGGAAGCCGTGGATGAAATGTTTTCATCGTCATACATCACTGCCATCAAGTAAGACGCTGCTGCTTCTTGACCCTGAACATCCGCTAGAGAGGGCTACAGTCTGAGAAGGCTGTGAATCGTGTTTCCCTTTTGAAGTTTTTACATTTAACCTGCATTTTCTGAAGATGCTGTCTTTTTTCTTAAGGGGCATAGTCTCGTCAGGGAGACATAAATATAAACCCAGTATAATATTTTGAGATTTGGGGGGATAGGGGGAGGATTCTTGCTGCATAGTATAGGAAAAAGTAATCCCCAGTTTTCCCCCCTCTTCTCTTAAGATGCAGAAAAGCTTTTATGGCTTTCTTCTAAGCTGTTGGTGTAGCCACTTACAAGTACTCACATCTCTTCCTTTTCTTTAAGAAATTCCTCTGTTCTGGAGCAGAGCTTCTTGAGAGCCATCCTTGCAGAGTTCCGTCGTTCCGGACTGGAGGAAGCAACATTTCAGCAGGTGATTGATCTCCTTTTTTCAGATCCTTCCAGATTTTGGTCTGATGCTTTTAAAATACGGATAACACTGTGTCGATCACTGTGTAACAGTTTCTCTATTATGTGCCACCCTGATAATGCTAAAGAATATCAGGTAAACACCTATTTTCATGTGATATTTTATTGAGTTGTGTGAGAAGAGACCTTTAGTAACTAGTTTCTGCATATTAGATTGAAGGTTTACTGTGTGCCAGATCCTGTTCTAGGAGTGGGAGATTCAGAAATAAACAAGTCAAATGTTACTGCCCTAATAACAGCCTATGGTATAGTAGGGGCAAGGTTTTCAGAATGAGCTATGTTTAAAAACATGAAGATCAATCCAAACATTGTTGAAGCACTTTTCATTATATCAAGTTAAAGGAAGCATTAGGACTCGTGCCTGAGTGGTTTATTTAAAACTGGTTTTCATAGGCGATGGGCTGTCTTGTTAAAGGTGTTTGAGTCTGTACCTGGGAGTATGTATGTCTGTGTACATGTATGAGTATGTTTTAGATAGAGCGGTCAAGAAAACATTTCCTTCCAACTACTTCTTCCTTTCAGCTTTTCTTTACTTCTTTAAATTCTTTTTAAACATTTAGTTGCTGTTGATGTTTTGTCTATTATTTTCCTTGTAGAGCCCAAGACAGCTCCTCTATAGACAGTGACTGTCATTTTAGTTTGTGAACATCCTAAACATCTACAATATGCCATTAACTGTGATAGGAACCAGGAACTAGTCTTGTTGGGGGTTGGGGGTGGGAGATAGACTTATAAAGATTTAGAATAGAAAGTGATTAGGAAATGCTACAGACCTGCCTGACCTGCTTGGGGCTTTGGGGTAGGAATCTATGTTTCCAGCTACCCTCCTTCCTCCCTTTATTCCGTATTCTCTCTGGGCTTTGATTTTCCAAGGGTCATGCCTTGGCACTTGTCCACTATATCTGCTAAGGAAAATGCCTTCTAGCAAAATTTGACTTGAATCACAATCTCAGTTGTGGAACTCTCAGTCCCTGTGTAACAGTCACAATACTAGACATTTTATATCCATTAAACTCATAATACACTTAATAGATAAATCAGAAAGTAAAGTAGCTTGCCCAAGATTTAGGTAATTGATAGAATCATGATTCAGACCTGCTATTCTCTGATTCCGAGGTCAATATTGCATTATGCCTCTGCATTTGTGCCCCTTTGGGGCACCCATTCTTGCCTTCTGGGGTATTGAGCGTCCTGAACCAAAAGTGTTTATTTCTTCCAAAAGAAGAAATAAGTGATCAGATATAGACCCAGGATCTTTCTTCTCTTGACCTTTCCAGCAGCTGACCTCAGATATGCGCTTTGTTTCTAGGTATACAGGCAACACGTGGCACTGTGCAGGATGGAGGGACTCCCGTATCCCACCATGTCAGAGACCATGGCAGTGTGCTCTCACCTGGGCTCCTGCCGCCTCCTCCTTGTGGAGCCCAGCAGGAACGACCTGCTCCTTCGTGTGCGGCTCAATGTCAGCCAGGATGATGTGCTGTACGCACTGAAAGATGAGTGAAGGACCTCATAAGGCAGGACTGTGAGCTGCTGTTTTTAAAGGGCTTGATTTTCTTTTTCTGTGTAAATGGAATTGTTGTGGCGAAGTGTACGGAATGGAAATGGCTATCGTGTAGTTTGGAATTTTCCATTAAATAATTTGTCTTTTCCAGAGTGTTTGGGAAATTTATAATCATTACAAACATCAGATTATAAAATCAAACCATCCTTCCTACAATAAGCCCTCCCTCTGACTTTTATTTCCATTAGTAGTCCTGCCATTTAATGGTAACATACCATGTATATAAGTATCTGCATAAAGTTACTAGTATTGATATAAAATAGTTCTGGGAGAATATGTAAGAAATTGGTTATATTGGTTGCCTCTGAGAAAGTACTGGATGGCTGTGATCAGGGGTTAGAAGAAGACTTCCACTGAATGTTACTATGTATCTTAACTTCTGGAAAATGTGAATGTAACAAACTTGGTTTATGAAAAACAACTACTGGAAATAATATCAGTGATAAGTAATCCCTAACAACAAATAGCTAGAAAGTGTAATTTTAAAAAGGTACCACTTATCATATAAATAAATCTTTAAATAAAAAGAAGACTCAGATGGCACAGAAAATATAAGGTACCTAGGCATAAAGCTAATAAAGAGATGTAATTAACATCTAAATACAAATCAATTGCAATCAAAATCTTGGCAGGGGTATTTGACATACCTCTGCAAGTTAATTCTAATACTTATATGGAAGCTGACAATGGGACAAACTGATATCTAAAGCCTCATGTGAGGCACTGAGAAAAACATACCACACATGTAATAATCCTGCCAGAAATGTTTGACCTCAGTTTACTGATGAGAAAATTATCAGATAAATTAAAATTGAGAAAAAAATATTCAGAGTAACTGCTCCTCTTCAAAAATATCCATATCACAAAGACAAAAATAAAACCAAATGGAGGAACTAGGCTAAACTAATGGAAAATAGAGAAATGAGAGCTAAATAGCTAAATGCATTGAATCTTCATTGAGTTGTGGATTTAAGAGATATAAACATAGGTAATGGTATTTTGTAAATGTTAAATTTTGTGAGTAATAAATTGTGTAGGAGAATCTCCTTGTTCTTAGAATCATGATTAAATATTTATATTTATAACTGCATATAATGGAATGAGGATCAGTATCGGAATATTTTAAAAGAATTACACAATTAAGAAAAAGGACATATGAGTAAATAAGTAATCCACTGAATAAGAAACATGACTGACCAACAAAATATAAACATAGTAAAAGAAGCCTGCAAGTCAAAACCCTTTCACATCTATTAGGAAACTTTTCCTTGGTGCTATAGAACAACTGGAACCAAAATGCCCCACTATTGAGAGTGTAAACTAACAGATAACTCTGTAGATAATTAGGAATTATTATTGTCTGGAAAATGCAGAAATCCTACGAGCTAGCAATTCTAATCCGAGGTACATACCCTAGAAAAACACGTGTACCCTAGGAGTTGTGTACCCAAGAATGTTCATAGCACTGTAATGTAAAGCCATTGGAAAAGTGAATTATTTTCATACTATGAAATACCCTACAGAAATGAAAAATAACTAGACAAAATGTAAGTATCATTGTGGATGAAGCTTAGAATAGGGTTGAGTAAAGCTGAAGAATATATGCAGTGATACCAATGATATAATGTTAAAGCTTGCAAAAAAATACTACGGATTGTTTAAGGATATATACATACACAGTAGAAAAATGTGCAGGAGTAATAAACACCAAACTCAGAAGAGTGGGTATCTCTTTGGGAAAGGGTTGCAACGTAAGTGCCTTCAACTGTACTGTACAGTTTTTTTCTTCTTAAACTTCTGGTACTATAGTACTCATGTTAATTCACACAAGAAATGAGACCTATTTATTGAGTGCCTACTGTGTACCATGCACTGCTCTAGACGCTGGAGACATCTTAAAGAACAAACAGCTCTGCCTTTGTGGAGCATGCACTCCAGCAAATGTGAAATATTGTATATCTTTGGGTATATATTAAATATTTCATTATAAAATTTAATAAGAAAAAAATGGGAGTGAGACTTCAATTTTAAAAATGCTAGTTGGTCTTTTCTGGGCGACCACCCCAAAGCAATAGAAGATGTAAAAGCTCTTTGTCCAAGGAACCTGGAAGATCTTTTAAACTGATAACTACGAAACACAGTAATTTAAAAGTTTATGAGCTAGGCAGCAGCGAGTTGCAGGGTTTAGATGGAAGATTCTCTTTAACGCCCCTCCCCATCCCCCATTTCATTGCCCTCCTGGGTAGGGAGGTTAAGAATTTGGTGTTCAACTATTAAGTGACTTCATGAAGAGGTGGAATGAGATGAACATCCACTGCCTGTCATATCTTATTTCACCCGCCTTGTGATTATAAAAGGTACATTCAGATGCTGAATGATTAAGACTGTTAAAAAGGCCACTAACAAAGAAGGTGGCAGAGAAGCCCCTCCTCTAGGGCGGAGCCTGCGTCAGCCCCGCCCTCACGCCGAGACAGATGGAGCGAGGACGTGAGGCGAGTGAGTACCCGGGAGTCTCGGACTGTGAGTGAGGGCGGGAGCTTGGCGGGGATAGGGAAAATGGGCATGGGCAACTGACGCACGTACTGTATTTGCGCCAGCAGCTGGACACGCCGGAACCGTCCAACGACCCGTATGGAGCCTCCTGTTACCTCTATGTTGAGAACCCCACCCTTGGAGTCACCTGTTGGAGAGCTACGCCCGCTTCGCCTTGCGCATGCGTATTGCGCGCCGCAGGGGCGTGGAGTCACGTGTTAGGGCGCGAGCCGTCTCCGCCGCGGCGCTTCCGTCACGGCCGCCGCGGCGGCGGGGTGGCAGCGGGACCCTTGGGTGGTTCCGGGCAGGAGAAGGCCTAGGTTGGTTTCGGATCCGCCACGAGGTATGTCGCGTAACCGCCCCCCGGCGGGGGGAGACCTGGGGACGGGGAGGGAGATGGAGTCGGCTGAGGCGGGGCAGAGCGGTGCGTCCTGCCGCGCGGGAGTGGGTTCCCCCGGATTCGCCTCTCCTGCGCACTCCGCTGCCCTGCTCTCTCCTGAGCTCGGGCCTGGGTCCGACACGGATGCCCCCTAGCCCGGTGCCCCTGGAGCCACAGACTTGACATGTCAGACTGACCTCGTCTTTTCCTTGAGCCCGGCTCACGCAGTGCTCTCGCTCAGTTGACGGCCCGCCATTCTCCCAAGCCTCTGAACTCTGACTCCTGGAGTCACCCTGAGGTCCCATTCTCGTGCACCTACATCCACTTAACCTCGGAGCCTTGTTGATTTTACCCTGCAACTTTGGAATCTCTCCACTTCTCGCCACCCCCACGCCTTCGCAGCTCGCCCCTTTCGTCCGAACCGTTGCAAGATCCGACGGCTTCCAGCCTCCATTCTCCGTCCTATCTCCTTCCCTTAAGCAGCCAGACAGATGTTTCTGAACCGTCTAGCTGATTCCGTCACGTTCATAGTCCTCAGAATACTGCCCAAACTCCTTTAAAGTTTTAAGTTTTTTCTATTTTGCCCCTTGCTCACATTTTCAGCTTCACTTGTACCATTTCATGTCACACGCTGTAAGCTCCAGTAATCCTAGATCTTTAGTTTCCCTCTGCAGGTCAAACTGTTTCTCACCTCAAAGTAATTATCAGGTTGTTCTCTCTGTTTGGAATTCTTATTCCCAACTTATTCATGACTCAGCACAGGCACTGCCTTCTCCAGGAAGCTTTTTCTCTCTGCTGGATAATGGGCTGCACCTGGACTCTCATGGCCCCTGGAGCAGCCCTGTGTGGTTTTGTCCATCGATGAGGCTATCTCCACCATGTAAATGTCCTTTGAGGGTTGGGAAAATGTCATATTCATTACACATAATAGGTCCTATGAATGGTTGTGAGATCTCCAAGAGAATCAGAATACTTAGGTTTCTCTAGAGCAGAACTGTCCAATAGAACTTACTGTGGTGATAAAAATGTTCAATATTTGTGCTGGTCAATGGCCGAGGAACTGGATTTTTAATTTAAATTTAAATGAAAATAATCATATATGGCTACCATATTTGATTGCACAGTTTTAGAGCCTTTCTGAGTCATGCCTAACCTTGCACCAACCCACCTTTACCTAGAGTTACTTTCTTGAATCTGCCTTCCAGGCTTCTCCACAGCCTCAGCCTCTTTGGTTTAATCCAGATTTGTC